AAGAGTAGTAGATAAATAGTGAAGACTAGACAAAGAAGGGGGAATGGGTATGTGTATATGTTAGCCCTGTGTTTCCCCCTACACATTCATAATAAGAGATAAGTAGCTCCTTCTCAGAGTCCCCAACATAATTCCATCGTATAGCCATCTCTTAATAAAAACTATTCTAACATACAACAACAAAATGCTAACCTTCATTAATTGCATCTGTTAGTTCCCAGATAATACAGATACTCGAGAAATAGACATTTTAGTTTTTATGCTTTTCAGTTATGCTGCTTGAATGGATCTCTAACTGTACTGTCCACTGTCCCACAAGGCACAACTTTCTCCAACCCTTTCTCTCTCCCTAACATCCTGCTATTTTTATGAGCTTCAATAGCCCCTTTTCAAGTGGTAGTTTCTTTTTTTTTTTTCAAGTGGTAGTTTCTTTAAGAAAATAATTACAATGCAAATTAGTCTTCAACAAATAGTAAGGCACGTTTCGGAATTAAATTCCTAAGTATTGAAGCTTTGCTTCCTGATATGTTTAAAACCATTATATAAGTTTAACCATAGCCATTCAATCTATGTACCTAGAAATATCATTTCTTCTGTTGCTAATGAAGGTCCTACGGCACAAATTTATTAAAGGTATACGTTTGCATGGGATAATAATTGGGTCGATAATATTAAATTCATAGGCTCATTATTTAATTGCAAGGGCAGATTATGAATACAGCTTCTAAAATGTATTTTAATGAAAAACACTACATCCTGACCTAATCATATCAACCTTATGCTATCTAATTAGGGATGCAAAAAATCATTAGAGTTGCAAAATATTAGTTCCAGTTCCATCAGGCTGTGAGCTGCCCCTTCATGAATATATATATTTTTACTCATGATAAATAGTTAATGAGGTAAAAATGACAAAATTTGCATGTAGGCAAATTAGTTTAATAGAATGATGTCTTTTCTGACTACTGAAAGTGACCTTTTCCTTTTCAAAAAAAAAAATGGTTAAAATACTTTGAAATTATCATCTGGCTGTCTTTGCACAAATGACAAATTATATGTATGAACAATATAAAAATTACAAAATGCAATAATCCTAAATTCTCATCATACTGTAAATGTGTTCTGTGCTTTTGCATTTATCAATTTAATAAAAGGAAATTAAGCATATTATAAAGTGTCCATTTATGTGGCAATTTTTAATCCAGAGCATAAAAACGAGAAGCATGTGCTTAATAGCTGATACTATGGCAAAGATCTAGATCAAATTTTTAAAATGCAAAAATTCTAGAATACTTACTTTAAATACTTTCATATTAAAGTATCTGTTCCATTCTTAATTTAGCAACTTAGACTACAGATCAGTGTTCTAAATTAAACTGGCATTGTATCTTGAAATTAGTACTTCAATTATTCAACAGGACTACCTTGCTTCCCTATTGAAATAAACTAAACAAGCAAAGGTAAAATAGGTTAAGAAGAACTTTAAAAAATTAATCATAAGAGGAAGTCTTCATGGTATAAACACCAGGTCATGAAGAGACATAACAAATAAAATATGTATGTCTATTCATTTAAGTTCTAGGAACATTTCTGTACGCTTAATAAACACAACCCGGATAATGAGAAATAACAGGTGCTTTCCAGATTTTCAAATGATTTGCATAAACATCTCTGTGAGTCTCCTCACTGATAGATGCTGAGTCTATACTTGTTGGGGAAGAGACAGCAGCAATATATCTAGATATATTAATGCTTGTTAATGGCCCAAAAGAATCTAAGCCAAAATATTTTACTTAGGACACAAATGTTTTTTTATTAAATTATTTACTTTAATTATATTTAATCCAATTGTCTTTTCTTTGATCCATTTAAATGTGTATACATTGTCAGAATTATGAACACACAAGATTTGAGGTCTTTTCTTGAGTTCTACTTTTGTCCATCATGGGTCAGCTAAATCATTTGATAAACGAGGGAATAAATATTAATTTTTAAAGAATTAAAGAATTTCATAATCTCCTTTAATTTTCCCTCTAGCAGCTAAACATTCATTTTCTTCTTCTCCTTTTTATCCCCAACCCCCTCTCCACCCTACCTTCTCCTGTCTCTCACTCTCTCTGACTTCCCTACACAAAACAAATAATCATGAACAATAAAATAATTCTCTATTTTCCTCTGTATTCTCTTGTTAGGTACTATGATTCAGCTCAGATCATTTTGATACTGAACTTTGGATTGCTTCCAAATTCCTAAACTTCCATATTGTGAAACTTAATAATGAAATAAATATATTCTATCTACCTCAGTCACTTTGACATTATCCTGCAGAGAAAGTGCTCTTTGCTTAATTTTTAGGATGATTTATTAAACAATTCAGGCCTTTTAAAAATTATGCTGTTGTCAAGGATTTTTGAAGAAGAAGACAGGATGACTATATCATAAAGTGAAATGTGATTTACTTTAAGTCAGGGACAGTTGTTGTGGAAATGCCTGCTGTAATGTTATATTTACCTATCAAATTAACAGAATTTGAGACATATTGCATATATTAATAGTAAACCCATGTGGAATTTTTTTAAAAGCTAATGTTTAGGTTTCTATCAGGTAGAGAATGGAATGAGGTAGATTATATATTCATTATATGGGCAAATAATATATTTTCAATTAGTCATTCATGCTTGCATTCATTGTTGTACTGAACGAATGGACAGTAAAAATGTACTATGTTCTGCAGACATTATTAAAGATCGAGAACACAAAGATGGAGAAGCCACTCATTTATTGCACAAGAAGATCTTTTTTTTTTATTTTTATTTATTTATGATAGTCACACACACACAGAGAGAGAGAGAGAGAGCAGAGACACAGGCAGAGGGAGAAGCAGGCTCCATGCACTGGGAGCCCGACGTGGGACTCGATCCTGGGTCTCCAGGATCACGCCCTGGGCCAAAGGCAGGCGCCAAACTGCTGGCCACCCAGGGATCCCCCACAAGAAGATCTTAATCTAAAAAGGAAGAAGGAGGGAAGCCTGGGTGGCTCAGTGGTTGAGTGTCTGCCTTTGGCTCAAGGCATTATCCTGGGGGCCTGAGATCCAGTCCCACATCAGGCTCCCAGCAGGGAGCCTGCTTCTCCCTCTGCCTATGTCTCTGCTTCTCTCTGTGTGTCTCTCATGAATAAATAAATAAAAATTTAAGAAAAAAATAAGTAAATAAAAAGGAAGAAGGAAACACAAGTAATCCTCAGACTGTGTGTTAGAAGGGTCAGATAGAACAAGCAGCCATGACACAAAAGAGATGGCCCTCTTTGGGCAGGCTCCATCAAAGCAACACTCAAACTCAGCCTGGAAGAAGAATTAGTTTGCCAGGTGGTCCCCGAGGACCTGGGAGGATGCTCCTCAAAACAGAGAGGAATGGATGGTAATGTAAAACAATATAACATGTTTAGCAAAATATCCTTATTTTTATATGGCCTCATTATATTTCAGCAAGAAGCATTTGACAAGAGGAGGTCTGAGAGGGAAGGAAGGCATGTGGATACAGGCTAATCACCAGAGAGGTAAACAAGAATCATAACAAATGGCAAAAGTGCAATAATCTGTATTTTGGCTTTTACTATCCAGGCAAAGGGTTTATGACAGGAAAAGGGGGGGGGTCAGATCTACATTTTAGAAATATTCTAAAGAATGAATTCGTGGATGTGATGACATGGTAACTGCAGCATGAGACTGAAGGTAGACAGAGCAGTTAGCAGAGTGTTATTGTTCTTTAGAAGTTGAGAATTGAGATCATAGATGTGCAATAGCAAATAGCATAGAGAATAAATATTAAAAAAGTAAAGTCAATATAACTAACTCCATGAACAAACTGAAAAAAAAATCTAGGAGACAAAGAAAGTCTAGAGAAACTCTGAGTTTCAGTTCTTTGTGATCAGAGTAGATGAAAATGCCACATACAGAGGTTATGGATATGTGAATCCTGTGGCTTTGTGACACAGGTGAAATGCATTTGGTAATTAACTAACAACATGTGTTAAGTCAATTTTGTTTGGAATGTGCTGGGTTTAGGTATCTGTGGGGCATCCACCTGAAGATATCAAGTAGGCTGCTAGTTTGTTAGTTTAGGACTCAGAACAGAAGCATAGCCTTGAGATACACATTTGGTCATCTTCAGAAGGATGGAAGATATAGCTTGAAAGGAGGGCAACAACAACAACAAAAAAAAGTATGTAGAGTAAGAAGAGAAATAAACCAAGTATAGGGCCCTGAAAGACTCTAACACAGAAGAGGTTGATGAAGCCAATGGAGAAGTCTGGAAAGGAAATTACTGAAAGAAAGAAGAGAAGCAAGAGAACTGACTAACAAAACATCAAAGGAGAATAATAATATTCTCTTCCTCCTGTCATCACAAGATGACATTGAAGCCAGCAATCATGTCACATGCAGGAAGGTGGTCACTAGCTTCTTTTATTTTTTTCTTAAAGATTTATGTATTATTTTATTTATTTAGTTGAAAGAGAGAGATTGATAAAGACAGCAGGGGAGGGGCAGAGGGAGAAAGAGAGGGAGAGAGAGAATTTCATGAAGATTTCCTGCCGAGTGTGGAACCCAACAGAGGGCTCAATCTCGTGACCCCAAGATAATGACCTGAGCTGAAATCAAGAGTCAGATGCTTAATTGACTGAGCCACCCAGGTGCTCCACTAGCTTCTTTTATGTTCTTCACAACCCTTGTGTAATTTTGCTGTATATATACAGCAGGTATCAAGAAATATTTCCACAGGAAAATGACAGTGCTACACTCTAAAAACCACCTGGCCATGTTTCCTCATTTCAACTAATAAAAAAATAATCAGTATACAAGCAATTTGCAAGATTTGTATAGTGGTGGCAGTAAAATACAATAATAAAGAACAATGTGAGAAAATGTACCAACTTACTGATAGGCTAACAGAATGAGCTTCTCTTGTGCAGTCAAAAAACAAAACTATTTCAAACCAACTCACCTTCTTCCTTTCACCATGGATTCCTCTCCATTGCTCAGACCTTTTCACTATGTAGCTGAGCTCCTGATTGGAGATCTCCAAATCATACGGCATGAAAAACATGGCTTCTTCACTGTGGATGCGCTGAAATGCATCTAATATCCAAGAATCACTGTGCAATCTAAAAACAAAACCATCTGTTACTTTTGTTCCCCAAATACTGTTTACTTTTTGTCCTCCAAAAATCTTAAAGAATTTGTTTATTTTATCAATTTAATCAATTCTATTCCAGTTCATTTGTTCCCATTTATTTTTCAGAAATTCTTTGACTAACATTCCAGAAATAATTTAATACTATTCTTCACTAACTATCATAGTCAAAGAATAATCTGGTTTGGGGGGGAGATTTTTTGCAATATCTCCCATAAGCCTACTATTTATTTATTTTTTTTTGTATCAAAGATTTAATGATAAGTGAAGGAAATCAGTGAGAATAAGCAAAATGCATTCATTAACTCAACTTTCTCCTCCTATGCTGATTTAAAAACATTTTATCCTAATTTGCATGATATATTAACAAGTAAACATACTTAATAGCTGGATATTTTACTTTTCTTTCTTTTTTATTAAAATGATTATTTTCTAAGTTTAAATTCCAACTAGGTAACATGCAGTGCAATATTATTTCTTTTTTTTTAAATAAATTTATTTTTTATTGGTGTTCAATTTGCCAACATACAGAATAACACCCAGTGCTTATCCCTTCAAATGCCCCCCTCAGTGCCCGTCACCCATTCACCCCCACCCCCTGCTCTCCTCCCCTTCCACCACCCCTGGTTCATTTCCCAGAGTTAGGAGTCTTTATGTTCTGTCTCCCTTTCTGATATTTCCTACCATTTAAGCCTACTATTTCTGATTTTTGATGTCTAGGTAATAGAGGGTAGAATATTAAGAAATATTTAGCCATTAATTTATATTATGAATACCGGATTAACTCAAATGTGAAGGATTTGTTAAAGGAAATTTAAGTTTGAATTTATTCTTTCTCAGTGAGTTGATCTTAGTGCCCCTTGGTAGAAACCCCATTGGACCAGCTTAGTTGGAACAGAGGTTTTGCTTGGTCGGTTGTTTTCCAACATGAATGATATATGGACCACTTTAGTGAAGCACCTAACCTGATAAACCATTCATTGGATCTTTTTCTCTTTCCAAAACAACTCTTAATATTAATTTAGAAATGCACTGCTTTTTTTTTTAATTTTAGGGAAGAATCTTACTGAAAAACATTAATACTTCATTAGTAACATTGGGATAAGTACTATAAATATTAATTAGACTGATATTTATAAAATTCTTCCACTAAATACACTAAGTTCAGAGAAGAGAAAATATGTATTCTATCCCTCATCAATCAGTATATTTGCTTCATATCATATGCTTTGTTTTGTAAAACTTTGAGTAAAATTGAAGCTCTAGGGAAATATATTTATCCTGTGATGTAGTACATGCTTGGTTCACCATGGATACCTGGAACTAGTTTAAGAAACGTAAAATTGTGGGGCACTTCAGTGGCTCCATCTGTTAAGTGATCAACTCTGGATTTTGGCTCAGGTTATGATTTCTGGGTCATGGGATTAAGACCCACATGAGGCTCCTCACTGAGCATGGAGCTTGCTTAAGATTCCCTCTCTCCATCTGTTGCTCCCCATGTCCCTGCCCTACTCTCACTCTCCCCCTAAAAATAAATAAATAAATACATACATACATAATAATAAATTAATAATTAACTAACGGCCACTAATAGTCAAGAACCCTAATGTAACACAGTATCAATAAACTACCCATTTGAGAAGTTATTACCAAATTCCCAAGTTATAAGTTGGAGTACCAAGATAGCTGAGCATTACATGGAGTGCCTTTCCATACAAAATGGGGAATTGTAAGTATTTAATTTCAATGATCAGGATAATTATATTTTGCTTTATAGATTAGGTAATTAAAACTAAAATTTGTTGAGTTCCCATTATAATGGTGGCCTTTCACATCCATTGTGTATCTAGCCTTCCTTTAATCCTGTCTTATACATATGAATATGCTAAAATTAAAAAAAAAATTAGTCTTGCTGCTTATAAGTCATGGAGACAGAATTTAAACTCAGAACTAACACCAAAGTTCATTTCATTCCACCATCTGACTGTTGAGTGAAAATAACCAATACAACATACATCTTCACTTAAGGACCTCTATCATGGTTCTTCCAAAATAGTAAAATAGATTTTTTTGACCCTACCTGCCAAATAAGAACTCTGTGTCTTTGTTTTCCCCTGACTATTTTATGCTCATCACAGAGTGGAAATAAAAACAAAACTGCCAACCAGTGTTACTGATGGCCCAAGACTGGCCATATGGCTTGGTACCATCTTGAAATTCAACTACTACTCTTACTGTGCTTTGAGATTCTAGTTTGGCCATTTGAATGATTTGCTAGTTGTCTTGTTAAACAAAAACTAGTCTTTGCCATTCTCTTAAGCTTGTTTAATGTAACATCCATCTTTATCTTTTAATGGTAGTAAGATTTAATGTAGTTAAATTACTGTCAATTTGCTGCCATAAACATTTTCTATATGAAGATTTTAAGTGCAGGATTACCAACTATGTAATTAACTTTGAATTAATTAGGAATCACAGTCCTGTTTCTGCTAGCTTCTGTTCCTTTTGCCCAGAAAATGTCTGTCTCCTCTGTATATTTCCTTCATTTTGTGTAAAAGAATAATTATGTGAACATCCAAGCCAGGATCTACAGGATGGTACACAAATGTTTGAACAGAGAACAAAATGACACATTGGAATATGGAAAGCTATACAAAGATTAACTGCCTTTTAGTTTTACATTTTTTTCACCATGTTGAGTGGCATTTTCCAGTGAAAAGGTTAAAGATGGATTGTAAATGAGTCAACCTATCAACAGTTACTAGATTTTAGCATATTTTCCAGCCTAATAGAGACTGTTTATTTATTTATTTTTTTAGAGACTGTTCACACACACAAAAAAAGGGACACAAAAAAATAGTCTCTGGTTATATATGCAAAATTTTAAAAATAAACTGAGTGTTGATAATTATGTAATTCATTTGATTATGTAATCAATCAAGCCATATAACATTTATCCAAAATATTTCATCCTTTCAGAGAGTTAGGCAGTACATAGTGATCAACATTGGTGCATATCTATTGAACTTCACTTTTCTGGCTCTCTTTAGAAAGTTAGAGTCTGATTAAATGTTAAGGAAATTTCTATAAAGATATACAATGTCAAAACAGTTTCAGTACATTTCATAAGTAAACTTATTTTATTTATAAAATATATTATTTATGTTAAGTTTATATTTATTTGTAAAAAAAAATTGAAACAATTATTTTATAAATAAACTGGGCATTACTGGGTATTGGAGAGAGAGAGAACAGACTATTTTCTCTATTCAGACAACATTGGAGTCAGTCAATAAAATATTAAGCTTAAATTTTCCATGATTATAATTAGTTATTAAAGTTTGTTATTCTCAAATGGGTCAGAAATACACACACACATACACACACACAGATGCACATGTATTTCCAAGTATTTCCTGCCATTTTGGGTGTGTGTGTATGTGTATAAAGATCAGATTGATTTATATAAAATTGAAAATATTAACTATATTAGATGAGAGAAAACCAAACACTTTAATAATTAGTGAAATTAGGAGAAGAATATTCAAGTTCATTGCATTATTTTTGCATTTTTATAGGTTTGAGTTGTGCTATGTATAAAAAGCTAATATTTTATGATAATATATATCATTACATGATGATGGTTACAAATTTGGATTTCTTTTAACAATACAACTATTCAAAATATCTGAAAATTCTACATTTTTAAATTATTTCTTCAAAATGTAATTAAGAAAGAAACTGTATTCCACCTGTCTGTAAAGCCGTAGGCATTATTGTTTATAGAAATAGGTCACATATTATGCCACAGGTTCTGATGACGGCCAATGAAACAAAGTAATTTACAAAGTCCTATGCCCTGTGTCCTACATTTGAAGTAATTCATTGCTTGGTGAATGGCATAAGCTATTATGTTTGGTTCACATCTGAATGTGGGTCATTTACAGAAACCTAGGATGTGACATTTCTGTTAAAGCTAAAAAGGACAAGTGTGGACATTTAGCTAATATAGTATTTTAAGGGTCATGAAAAAGATGGAGTCTATAACTTAAGCCAGCTCCAAAAGAAAAAAAGATATATATATATATCTGTCTATATATATAGAGAGAGAGATATATGGATATATATGAATTAAAAAAAATCAAAATACAATTGCTTCTTTCAAACTCTAAAAGTTACAAATGAGTTTAGCAGTATGGTTTTACACATATCGTAATCAATGTGCTTATTGATATAACTACTTACCTGCTGGTATAAGTATGTTAGAATGCTTCAGGTAAAGGTCTGAGCAGCTTATGCTTGTCAAAATTCATTCTCATTTTTATGTTGAAAAAATGAGTATTTGAAATCTGTTCACATATTCTTTAGCAGACTTGTTGAACATTTTAGATGTATGACCCTAAAGTTTTTATATGTATGGAAAAAGCTAGCTTTTGTGAGGTTTCTAAAAAAAAAACAAAAACAAACTTGAATACTCACTATCCTGTGTAACACTAATTGAATTCCAAATGGCTTTGGTTTGAAATTATAGTAAATAGAGGAAAAGATAAATACAAAAAAAAAAAAAAGAAAGAAAGAAAGAAAAGAAAAAAGAAAAGAAAGAAAAGAAAAGAAAGAAAAGAAAAGAAAATGAAGAAGGGGAAAATAATTTTAGAAAAAGAAATTCAGGGGATCCCTGGGTGGTTCAGAGGTTTGGAGCCTGCCTTTGGCCTAGGGCGTGATCCTGGAGTCTCCGGATCAAGTTCCACTTCGAACTCCTGCTTCCTGCTTCTCCCTCTGCCTGTGTCTCTGCTTCTCTCTCTCTGTCTCTCATGAATAAATAAATAAAATGTTTTTTAAAAAAAGAAAAGAAAAAGAAATTCAGGGCAGCCCAGGTGGCTCAGCGGTTAAGCGTCCCCTTCAACCGAGGGTGTGGTCCTGGAGACCTGGGATCAAGTCCCACATCCAGCTCCCTGCATGGTGCCTGCTTCT